TCTAACATACTACATAAACACTTAAACTGGTCTAACATACACATGAACACTTAAACTGGTCTAACATACAGAAACACGCACACACACACACACACACACACACACACGCATACAGTTGGTATAGGAAAGGGTTAAAGCTTAAGCAGTAAAGAGCAGAGAAATAAAAATATGAAGTTATGGAACCATTTGATATTAAGCAGATTTACAGCCTAAAGGAAACATCAGAACCTTTGTAAAAAGGTGCGTTATGATACTTAATGTATCAATTAATAAAACTAAGTTTGAATACTTCTCGTCTGTCTGAAAGAGAGGCTCACATTGATCTTTGCTGAAGTTGGTTGATGAAAAAGAACCAGTTTGCGTCAGAGAATCTTGGTGAATGGAAATGTCAAGGCCGAAGGCCTGGCAAAAAACTTAGGGTGTCCTGGAGCATTGTAGCTCACATTTTCATCTTCTCAGAATTCAACCAAAGCACCGACTCTGGGGCGGGTCACTGATGTGAGGCCTTTAAGGTCTGAGAAGATTCACGCCTCTCAAGATGGGCTTGTCCAATGAGAAAGGCTGGAATCCCAAGTGGGAGTTTGGAAATACTGGGGAGTTTATGACCCTTTGTGTGGAAGCATGGTAATTTGCATATGGAACTTGAATCGAAATTACTAAAAATTCTCAGGACACTAATATATTGCCTATGCACCAACATATAATATACACGCTCGTTTAGATAATCAGAAGGCGAATTCATAGATACTAAACATTTTGTGATTACATCCTTTGGATGAGACGTTAAACTGAGGTCCTGACTCTCTGTGGTCATTAAAAATCTCGTGGCACTTCTTGTAAAGAGTAGGGGTGTAACCCCGGTGTCCTGGCCAAATTGCCCCCCTGGCCTTTGTCAATCATGGTCTCCTAATAATCCCCAACCACTTGATTGGCTCTATGACTTTCTCTCCTCTCCACCTGTAGCTGGTGTGTGGTGAGCGCACTGGCGCCGCTGTCCTGTGGCTGCCGTCGCATCATCCAAGTGGATGCTGCACACTGGTGGTGGTTGAGGAGAGACCCCCCACATGATTGTAAAGTGCTTTGGGTGTACAACAATACACAATAAAGCGCTATATAAATGCATCATTCGTTCATTCATTCATTGGTAAGATGACAGGAATGAGTGGTTCCATCATAAGCCTGCATAAAACAGTATAAAATCTCAAAGACAACATACACAATGCCCTGAAGGATATGTGTGTTCATTCAAAGAAAGGTTTTCCTATGGATTAATTAGAAGAGTCCATTTCTACTGTGCACTGTGTCTTTCCTATGGAAATTGTAAGGAGAGGGGTAATTCTCAACATGCCATTAGGTTGTAAATGTATCTGGTCTAGCAAAGGTGTCGTGGTTGCCATGGGGACCAGGGGGGGCCTGGTGTTGTTGCAGACATCCTGGCACCCAGTTTATTGGGTGAGGGGACTGTGACGATTTGTTAATCTAATGAATAACTGATTTGTTAAATCAAATGAAAAATTGTGTGTTTGATTGGTCCAGACGCTACAATCGGCAGAAGCCACCACTTTTTGGTGCCCGAACAGGGACTGGAAAGCAGCAGAGGGTGGAGGGCCACTTTGGGCTGGCTTGACAAACAACATTTTTAGTGGCCACTAAATAATAAAGCTAGGCAGTTTTTTGCTTATATAATAAGTGTTGTTTGCCAAAGTCAGCCGGTGGTGGTATAGACACTCGAAAATGCTCCTCCAAATTTAAAGAACAAAAAGAAAAATGGTTTTGATTCGAGAAGAATTGCTCACATTGCCGCAAAGACTAAATCACATATAGGGTAACCAGCAGTACCTCCAAGCTTGTGTTCTTTTGCTTTTCCTGCCGCAAGAAAGTACACAGGTTCCAAAGAGATTTGAACTCGTAGCACTCGATTCAAAATCCAGAGTCCTAACCATTACACCATGGAACCACCACTCTCTCAATGGCAGCCATTTGGAAGGCAGATAGTGTTGTGTTATGGGGAGCCAATTAGACAGTGGGGTTGGTTCACAATGAATTTTGGTCACAGGCCCACATCAACCAAAAGTCGAGGACAGGGAGCATCTGCCGAAACCCGGGACCTTTAGAGCTTCAGTTTAACGCTCTCCCAACTGAGCTATTTCAGCCACATAAGCCAGTGGTCTAACCAGCAGGGATTTCCATGAGACCACCCGTCACTGTATGAGAAGAGCAGAGCTGACATCCCAGAGAACAAAAGAGACTGGCCCTTAGGGGGATCAAACACCCGACCATGGCATTATTAGCACCACGCTCTAACCAACTGAGCTAAACGGCCTGGTTCTGATTTGGCGTCTTACCAGTTTGCCAAAAATTTTCTGATAGCCTATGACACTAAAGAGACAGAAGAGCTTCAGGACCAAGCCTCATCTCGCACCCAAAGCGAGAATCATACCCTTAGACCAACAAGCCAGCTCACTCTACCGTTGATCCTCTGCCTAGCCACGGGCATCCCTGTTCAAATGGCTTTAAACGCAAGGAGCATCCCTAAATCTGCACCTGTGGCAAAAACAAGTGTTAAAGTGCGTCGATTTCTGCGAAATTTGTTTCTGCCGTGGCTCCACTAGCCTTAACTGTAGGGTGTGTAGGATAGTCAGCAAAGTCCTAATTAAAGTAGGAAGCTGATTTCAGAAATGGAAGATAAAGCAAGTTTTGCCAACAGGCAGCTATTCCTAGTCATGCCAGTACAACTCCAATTAGCAAGCATGGGGAACAAACGAGACGTCCAAAACGTCTGGTCAATCGGACGTTTCAATTGCACACATCAAATAGCCAAGAATCGATGACCATAAAAAAAGAGAAGAAGAGCAAAGACAAATTATGCTGCCTTTTTATGTCTGTATGTGTGTGTGTGTGCAGAAAAACAAATTTAATGTGTAATAAAGGTCCCTTGGGAGTACTTACCCTGATACAGTTCTCATGGGTGCGAACTTACTTGATCACAAAAGTCACTTCTGATACAGGATCACAATCTTGTGAAAGCCAAGTCAATTATTTGTAATAAAGCACATGTAAAAAAACAAAAACAAAAAAAAACATGAAAGTTGATGCAAAGTGTGGTACGACAAGAGGAAAGCTCCAAAAGTTTCATTTACAGAAACACTGAATGAAATCAGCAAACATTAGAAGAAATTAGCCAATAAAAGATGGCAGCCATCATCATTACCAGAGGAAAAGAACAAAAAGAGCATGAACAAAAGAAGGAAAACGACCTTACATGGAAGACTTTATACTTCCATGAGACCACCCATCCTTTTTTTTTTGACTGTGCTGTCGATTTAGGAAGTTTCGTACCTCAGGATTGGACTTGGCTCTAAGGAGGTATAACCTGTCTCTGTCAGTCATTTGAGGTCTCATTTCTAGATTAAACTCAATATCGCGCAGGTAGGCCTGGATGTTGTGGCCCTTTGTGGAGTTCGGGTTGAACTTGCTGATGTTTTTAGACAGCTTGTTGAGGTCTTTGATGGTCATCCCACGTGCAGCTCCAAGGTCTGCTTGGATGGGCAGTTTTCTTTTGTTGGCTGAAAAGAGTTGTGTGGCGAAGGCAGGTGAGGTTTTGGGTTGAGGCCCTTCGCTTCTTTCATTGTATGCCAGTTCTTGGACATGGGACTCTGCTCTGCTCAGCAGTAGTAAGGCTGAGAGATGTTTCTCTTTTCTTCACTCTTGTTTCAACTCATAAGCATGTTTGAGTTCTTTAATAAGCACAACATTTTAAAACATGTCCAAACAGTCATTGGGTTTGCGTATGGGGGTTCCTGGACGCTGCGCCCTGCCCACCCAAAATTTTGGCGGACTGGCTGGCACCCCCCGCCGACACTTCCCGGCCGCCCAATGTCCCCGGGTGGGTTTTGGGAAACCTGACCCCACTGGGGGCCCGACGGGAGCCCCCTGAAGTCTGAAGCCCCCAAAAGCAGTACTGCCTTCATCCACTGTGTGGCAGCACCACCATCCCAATCCAGGATTATAGCAATGGGCTTCTGGGCCATTCATATAGTCTAGGGGTGGACGCTTTCTTGATTCCCCCCATACCACAAACTCACTATTTGTCAGCTGACCCATTAAAGTGGGCAAATGACCCCCGGACCCCCACTGACCACTGCCAAGCCACGCCCCCGTCCCACGAACCCACTATTTGTCCAATTACTCACTAAAGTGCGCAATGACCCCCGGACCACTGCTGACCACTGCCAAGCCATACCCCCATCCCACGAACTCACTATTTGTCCAATTACCCACTAAAGTGTGCAATGAACCCCGGACCCCCGTTGACCACCCCCAAGCCAACTATTTTTCCGATTACCCACTATAGTGGCCAAATGTTCCAGTGACCTCCGCTGACCACTCCCAGGACACACCCCATCCCACGAACCCACTATTTGTCCGATTACCCACTAAAGTGGGCAAATGCCCTGCTGACGACTGCCAAGCCACGCCCCCATCCCACAGACCCAATATTTCTCAGATTACCCACTAAAGTGGGCAAAAGTCCACTAACCACTTAAAGTGTTCTTTCACAATAAATTGCAAGTGGGACAGGTGTCCATTTGCCATTTAATGAATGCGATCTCTATAATAGGTTAATGGGATGATTGTCAACTACCCACTTAAAGCGTTCCCATTCAATAAGTTGCAATTGGGATCGGTGTCCATTTGCAGTTTATTGAATGGGATCCCTATAATAGGTTAGAAGGATTATTGTCCACCAACTTTTTAAACCGACCCCATACAATAAGTTGCAAATGGGCTCTGTGTCCATTTGTAATTTATTGAATGGGATACCTATAGTAGTTTATTGGGATGACTGTCCACTTACCCCTTAAAGTGTTCCCATACAATAAATTACAAGTGAGACATGTGTCCATTTGCCATGTAATGAATGGGATCGCTATAGTAGTATAGTGGGATGATTGTCCACTTACCCTTTAAAGTGTTCCCATACAATAAATTGCAAGTGGAACATGTGTCAATTTGCCATTTTATGAAAGGAATAGCTATAACAGGTTAGTGGGATGATTGCCCACTAACCACTTACAGTGTTCCCATACGATAAATTACAAGTGGGACATGTGTCCATTGGCCATTTAATGAATGGGATCACTATAATAGATTATTTGGATGAGTGTCCACTTATTCCTTAAAGTGTTCCCATACAATAAATTGCAAGTGGGACATGTGTCCATTGGCCATTTAATGAATGGGATCACTATAATAGGTAAGTGGGATGATTGTCCACTAACCACTTAAAGCTTTCCCATACAATAAATTGCAATTGGGACATGTGTAAACTTGCCATTTAATGAATAGGACCACTATAACCGTTCTCTAGAGGAAAAACTATCGTCGGTCTGTCAAGGTACAACAATTACAAATTGTGAGATTAACAATGAAAGTGAGACACATTTTTAATCGGATAAGTTGCGGATTATTCGCTCGTTCAGTTTCATTTCATTCACAACTTATTCTCAATGTCCAGGTGGCAGTTAGGAAGAAGTGCCTCGCGATTGCACCAGACTTGTTGGTTTTCTACGTGACAAAGGCTAGAATTGCTGTCTAATTATTCTCATGCTACTATCAGGAGTGCAACCAAATCACTCTTCCCTGGTGGTCTAGTGGTTAGGATTCGGCGCTCTCACCGCTACGGTCTGGGTTCGGTTCTCGGTCAGCGAATGCACTTTTGCCTTCCAATGGTGGACTGTGAAGTGACACACTGCTTGCAGCTGCAAGAAACCCAGCTAAACAAGAAAAAATGTGGGCACTTGAAAATAGACCACCTTCGAGCCGGAGTCGAACCAGCGACCTAAGGATTACCAACATTCCAAACTACAGTCCTCCACTCTAAAAGCTGAGCTATGGAAGGCACTGGGATTAAAACAGAACTTCAACCTATTAGGGTTCTGTAGCTCTACTGCTGGCCAAAAATCACTTCTGGTGCAGGAAGACGTGCTGACTTTTTTAGGAGGGAAGCAAAAAGGAGTCCACCTTCACGTACCGGGAGTCGAACACAGAACACTTGTGTGAAAATCAGGAATCCTAACTGCTAGACAATAGAGGAACAGCCATGAACCGGCCACAGACTTCTGGGCCACTTTCCATATGTGTGGCCAGTGTGGGGGCAGGGTTTTGTAGTGGCCTATGGGTTTTGGTGTGTGACTTTAACAATGTGAGAATAATTTAGCAAAACAAGAATTATCCGAAGGGATCGTTTACTGAATTAAATCATGATGCATGCATTCAAGGGACCTGTTGTTTGACTCACCCAGGGGGCTCAGTTTTTTTGGCTGATTCCTGTGATTGCTGAATAGATACCTCAAACTGGTAAATAAAGTCTTGTCCAGGAGAAAATACCCACTTTATGCATTCGAAAAAAACACACGCATGGTAACAGTTCTCTAGAGGAAAAAACAGCCTATCGTCGGTCTGTAAAGGTACAAAAATGACAAATTGTGAGATTAACAATGAAAGTGAGACATGTTTTTAATCAGATAAGTTGCGGATTATTCGCTCGTTCAGTTTCATTTAGTTCACAACTTATTCTCAATGTCCAGGTGGCAGTTAGGAATAAGGCTACAAAATGGCAAGCCCATGACAACAAAACCACATGGCATGACACCCTGCAAAGTAGTGAAGCAGTTACAAAGTAGCAATGAAGTTGTTCTTTCAAGAATCAAATGACTGCCAGTCTGGAGCTTATTTCCACATTAATCGCCGAGCTTGTCGGAGTGCTTGTGGGACGATTGGCAATCACGAAGCATATGCGCATCTCCCGAAGACATTAAAACGGGTGTGCAACATGCGCCTTTTGTAGATTAAAAGATGCGTGCTTGGAGATTTGTCTTTTCTTCTGGACTTAAAAAAAAAAAAAAAAAAAAACAACTACAAAAACCGCCTGATAAAAGTAAAAACAGAGTGAGCTATCCAGGAGTCGCACCTACAATCTTCTGATCCGTAGTCAGACATGTTATCCATTGCGCCACTGGTCCACCAACAGGAGTGCACCGCGATTGCACCAGACTTGTTTGTTTTCGACGTGACAAAGGCCAGAATTGCTGTGAAGTGAAGCTCTGCTTTTAGCTTCGAGAAACCCAGCCAAACAAGAAAAAAGGTGGGCATTTGAAAATAGACCTCCTTCGAGCCGGCGACCTAAGGATTGCCAACACTCCTACCTACAGTCCTCCGCACTACCAGCTGAGATATCGAAGGCACTGGGATTAAAACAGAACCTAAGCCTTTTAGGGTTCTGTAGCTCTACTGCTGGCCAAAAATCCCTTCTGGTGCAGGAAGACATGCTGGCTTTTTTAGGAGGGAAGCAAAAAGGAGCCCACCTTCCAATACCAGGAGTCAAACACAGGCCACTTGTGTGAAAATCAGGATTCCTAACTGCTAGACCATAAACAAACTGCCATGAACCGGCCACAGACTTCTGGGCCACTTTCCATACGTGTGGCCAGTGTGGGGGCAGGGTTTTGTTGTGGCCTATAGGTTTTGGTGTGTGACTTTAACAATGTGAGAATAATTTAGCAAAACAAGAATTATCCCAAGGGATCGTTTACTGAATTAAATCATGATGCATGCATTCAAGGGATCTGTTGTTTGACTCACCCAGGGGATTCAGTTTTTTTGGCAGATTCCTGTGATTGCTGAATAGATACCTCAAACTGTTAAATAAAGTCTTGTCCAGGAGAAAATACCCACTTCATGCATTCGAAAACACGCATGGTAACCGTTCTCTAGTGGAAAAACAGCCTATCGTCGGTCTGTAAAATTACCAAAATTATAAATTGTGAGATTAACAATGAAAGTGAGACATGTTTTTAATCGGATAAGTTGCGGATTATTCGCTCGTCCAGTTTTATTTAGTTCACAACTTATTCTCGACGTCCAGGTGGCAGTTAGCAATATGGCTACAAAAGGGCAAGCCCATGACATCAAAACCACATGGCATTACACCCTGCAAAGTAGTGAAGCAGTTACAAAGTAGCGATGAAGTTGTTCATTCAAGAATCAAATGACTGCCAGTCTGGAGCTTATTTTCACGTTAATCACCGAGCTTGTCGGAGTGCTTGTGGGACGAAGCATGTGCGCATCTCCCGTAGACATTAGAACGGGTGTAAAACATACACCTTTTGTGGAATAAAAGATACGTGCTTGGAGATTTGTCTTTTCTTCTGGACTTTTGGAAAAAAAAAAAAACAACAACTACAAAAACAGCCTGAGAAAAGTAATCACAGAGCAAGCCAGCCAGGAGTCAAACCTAGAATCTTCTGATTTGTAGTCAAATGCGTTATCCATTGCGCCAAGGCAGGCACCTGTTGGTCGAGGTAAATATCCTAGAAGATGCACAGCGACGCAAGTTCGCGGCCCACTCCGACCAGGGATGGAATTCCTGGAATGGGTCCGTTTTGACGCTGCTGGTGCACGCGTGTCATCATCATTGTCATCATCATCAATGCCTTGTGCTTTATATATATAGATATATTTTTACATTTTACCTTATTTGTATATTTGTATAGTTGTATTTTGTATTTTGTATTTAATCTGTACCTATCTGTATTTATGTTATCTGTATGCACCAAGGGTCTGAGAGTAACGCAATTTCAATTCTCTGTGTGTATGTGCTGTACATGTGGAAGAATTGACAATAAAGCAGACTTGACTTGACTTGACTTGATTGTCCCCCGCATTTTAATCAAACGTAAATTCGTCCCCCACACTTTAATTTGGGCACTCTCCAACGTAAACACTCTCACGTTATGTATGTTTCGTTCATACCGGACGCCGGAGGGCGCTCTCTCGCAGAAAGTCCAAAACGGACTCGTAAAAGTACTAACTTGTGATGCACGCTACAGGAAATACCTTATATGGACAAAGGCATTCAGCTGTCACTGGATAAAAAAAGCCGAAATGTTTTGACTGATAAAACGTGAATAGTCATTGCAACAATACACGATTTGTGTTTTTCAAGCCATCTTCTTGGCGCATTTTCATAACAAAATATATGAATAACTCAGCGCTAACTGACACTTTTTTTTTACAGTATAAAAAATTATATTTTCTGCCTTATTCTGAATGTCCCTGTTTTTATTGTGTGTTTTACGGTTATGTAATACTGGAATACTTTTTTTTATTTTTATGTTTTTGCAACTACAAATATAGTGAGCATACAAATAGGCACAAAAACAATGTGAGTGCAAAGATGAACCCTTTTTATTAACAAATATAACGTCAATAAAAAAATTTAGAACAGCAGTACAATTTTGACACATCAACCTAAAAAAGAAGTGCTAATTGACAGCCTTTTTTACAGTATAGAAATTATATAATATATTTTCTGCCTTATTTTGACTGTCCCTCTTTTTATTTTGTGATTTACAGTTATGTAATAATACTGGAAGACTTTTAAAAAAATGTGTTTATAGGTACAAATATTGTGAGAATACAAATAACAATAGTGCACAATAACAATAGTGTGAGGACAAAGATTAACAACCCTGTTAATCTGCATATATTTTTAAAGTCAATAAAACATTTAGCACAGTAATGCAATTTTGACACATCAATTTAAAATAATAAATAGTAAACCAAAACAAATGTTTACCACAGTAGTACAATTTTGACATATCAGCCTAAAAAATATAATAAATATCAAACCAAAACAAACATTTGCAGTACAATTTTGACAGCCTAAA